GTACATGAACCAATCCAAAACAAAATGATACAGAGTCACTGAAATGAACACAACCGCCTTCAATATTTTTTAAATATGAACACTATGTATTGAAAAATTTATATGCTGTAGTGCTTACATCAAGATCAAATTCTGGTGATTCACTGGAAGATAACGTCAGTGCTGCGATCCTGTCAATTCTGTAAACTTCATGACCCCCTGGTAAGTTACCAACATGTGTTTGCTTTGATATCACTATCAGTCTCCAATCAGCACCTGATGCCATGAAATACAACAGATTAATTAGGGCAGATACTAAGAAAAAAAAGACATGCAGAAAGGCAAGAAATTAAGAGCAAATAAAATTTACCCAATACTACCCCAATTTTTAACCAACATTCTGCATAAATCACCAAAAAATTATGTCACATCAATATGTAACTGATTTCAAATTCAATTTGGACAAGAAGCTGACCAGCCTGCAATATGGTTGTTGGGAGTACATACATTTGTATCTCTCTTCAATAGTAAATATGCAAACTTGAAGGGAAAAACTTGATGACAATCAGATATTATCCTTGCAACCTGTTTCCAGGAATTACAAGTTGAAATATCAACTGCAGAATACCAGCCATTTGTATGAAATACCATATCCAATGTAAATTAGAGCTTGAAATACAGGTGTACATGTATTAGCAGAACATTTAAGAATTTCAACTCTCTCGACAGTAATCAGGGTGAGATGTTACATTTTTCTTGTGTAGTTTAAAGTCAGTGCACTTAACCCTTTAACTCCCTGATGTGATTCACAAATAATTTCTCCCTACAATATCCATGTACTATCCAGCAAACTGGTGATGAGAATATTCAAATGTATCAGGTAGAAGTTGTTATCTTGATTGAACACCAAATTCTTGTAACTTATTCAAAAGGAAATGTGTTGTAGCTAGAGGTGAGAATTAATAAGCAAATCTTAGGAGTTAAGGGGTTAAAAAAACTCTTTAAAATATCAATCTAGCATAATTATTATGAATTTATAATTATTCAACGAATTCAACCAACTTCAACCCCACCACAACAAACTGATTGACATTGCATATTCAACTGGTAACAAATGTAAAAGAAATGACAATAAATTATTAACACAGCACTTAGCTGATGAAAAGGAAAATGTACTTATGCATAAAAACCCAGAAAAAGGCAAATAAAACAGGGTTTCATTAAATCTTTAATACTAGCCTTCTAAAACAGCATATAGAGCATCTTATTGCTCACTATTAAGATTTAATTTACTAACTTTAACTCTCTAACTCCCAGATCAAATTTGTAATTCTCCTCACTGTCAATGGTATAATTTTCATAATGTTAGTTCAGAGAATTTATTATTGGATCAACTAATTATCCCCAAATTGATATTTTTCTTTATTCTCATCACTTATCTGGTTGATATTGTATTGATATTGTAAGGAGAAATTCTTTCTTGGTCACTCATGGGAGTTAAAGGGTTAAAGAGGAGAAAAATGGCAACAATAGACCCTTAATCCAAAACAGCCTCGCAGTTTCAAGTGACTTGCAGCACTAGGGACATGTACATGTATGTACATGTGTGTAATAACAAAACCACAAAATGAAATACTCAGTCCAAAGTAAACATAGTTAATGATATCAACATCCTGCTGAAGTAACAGCACAGTAAATTCAATGCTGAGTCCTAGGATTTCAAATCTCATGGCGAACAGTCATTCAATATTCCATGCTTAAAGA